GGTACATCCATCTACACCCAGAGAAATAAGTTGTTGTGCCAAATGTTTTTCCATTTTACCACAAAGAAAAACGTCAATAGATTTTAAGCAAAAGAGTTTTCTGTTATCCCAAAATAGTAGATGTATTTGATTCAAGAGTTAAAATCTGTTTTAAGTCAATAAGGAAATCATTTATGGTAAAATATATAATTTTTGGCGTAAAAATAATAACTATTGAATTAATAAACTACCTTTTTAAATTTAATGTGTTTAAATATTAAACTAATATGTGAACATTATTGCGCTAAAAGTGCGATTTATTATAACAAAACTCTTAAGTTATTGAATCAATGAAGTTTTCCTTTTTGATTAAAATTTGTATCTTTTTATTTCAAAATGAAAACATTATTATTACAAAAAAATTTAATTTTCAGATAAAAGCATAAGTTATTAGTTTAATAAAGGTTGTTTTTGTACTTACAAGTTTTCTTTTTCTTTAAAAAAATTAACCTTTTTATCACCAAATGTTTTAAATTTTCAGTTAAAAGAATAAGTTATTAGTTTAATACAATACCAATTTTATGGTAATAGGTATCGTATTTTATATTAAAATACTTTACCATTTGAAAAAGTAGGAATTTGGTAAGTGAAACACCTTAATTGATTATGTTACTAGTTATTTATTTGAAAGCTATACAATACAAGTATGAGAAAACAATATGATAAGTAACAATCAATATGAAATGAAAAAATGGTACTAGTAAAAATAAGTTAAACTAATGATAACAAATAACTATATGTACTTAATGCTAATACTAAAATATAAAAATGTAAATTTACAAGAGAGTAATACCCTGAAAATGAGAAACCCATGTAATAACACATTTGCTTTTGAATGGTTACAGTAAAAAGGAGAGGTAAGAGAGGAGAAAAGGAATGGGTAGGGCGTCAAGGATCCCATTCATTGCGTCACTAACTTACGCCCTTAAGATAGTGTCCTCGTCTGATGGGAGATGGAAAGGGGTAATGTACCTAGGCGGATTTCGGTTTTGTTGAAAGTGTTAGCATAACGTAACATCAGACAGCTTCACAACTCTTTCCCCTGTACATAAAAAATAAAAATGTGTTGGGCCACTACACACCTCCTTCAAACATTTAACAATGGCACAAGTATGTTTTGAAGCAATCTTATAAACCAGGTAGTGTTCAAGATATTCTGTGACCTCCCATTGAAAACAAAGAAAGTAAAATTTATTTTTATCCAAAACAATATCCATTATTTCAAAAATATTTGGGAGCTGCTCAGTGGAATGAAAAATCACAAAACCTTTTTGATATTTGCTACCTTTGTAAGTTAGCTCTTTCACAACTTTGCAAGCGGATAAATCAATTTTATCTCTAAATGCATCGTATTTACTCTCTTGTAAATTTACTGTATTTGTACATTTATAAGATATTTCGCTGACAAAGAAACTATCATGTAACACCATATTTGCAAAGTCCAGTTGTGTGTTTATAGACAATGTTAATGGAATATTTTGCCTAGAAGTAATGTTTCTAGCATACCGTTTATGTTTTTGATGTATTGCCTCAAAACGAAAGCACCATAGATGCCGAAGAGAGCCACTATTTCTTATTATATGAGTAAAATGTACCATGAAATGATGCTTAGGTTTAAGATTATCTTTAAATAAGGTCACATACAGCTAATGATGCCTTTCTGTTAAATTATCAAGTTTACCTAAATCGCACTCTGTAAAATGTACTTGTAACAATAAATCGGTAATTTGCACAAATAGATTTAAAAATTCATACACCTTATCTTTAATTGGTACTAAGTCACCTATCATTAATAAAATGAAGTGAGTAAAACATTTCATTTCTGAAGCTGTCATTTTAAAATTTTTTGTTCTAATGTTATTTTATTGGATCGGTGGACTCATATTGCTTATTTGTGTAGGTCCATATTAAACATCTGTTTCCGATTGTTTAAAATATTTAAGGTAAAGTACTTTTTTTCGTAAATAAAGTAATTAAGAACATGAGCTAAGTTATATCTGCAGACACCATTATAAATATCATGCATAATGTCACAACACACATTATCGGTTACGTGAAACGATTTAATTTGGTTAAAAATTGATTCTTCTCTTATTCCCGTTTTTGAACAATCTGCAGTAAATGTATCTTTCATGTAATCGTTTTTATTTCTTAAAGATGTATCGATTTGTTTTGTATCGTTCTGGGCTTGATGCTTTGAACGTTTACAAATTCTGCAATAATAATTACTTGAAAATGAACTTGTAAACCCTAAAACATCATTTAATGCTAGGTTGTCGCCCAGTACCAAACCCAGTTTAAAATAAATTTGTGTTTCAATTTTGTTTTTTAGATTTAAAGAAATTCCTTCATCTTCTAACCGATTTATATCGTCAATTAGTCCGTGCAAACATTTCTTATTTCCAAATTTATGCAAATCCACAGATTTTATGAAACCAACTACCAAAATGTTGCTTAATTTTGACATCTGAAATTGCGGTATTGTAGGGAAACAGCAATATATTCCACATAATTTGTGAACACCCGCATGAGAACTTAATGGATCATTTATTTCGAAGTCATCAAAGTAAAGAAAATATAGTATTATAACTTGCCTTTTTGGATTTTCAGTACATTTATGTTTCCAACTAGACCCATTAATAAAATTGCACAGCTTTTGACATTTTTCAATCTTATTCATATTATCAACAGTTTCTTGGAAAACATTGTCACTTTCAAAATATCTTTTAAATTGTAAGCCAATATCAAAAACACAGCCTTGCACTAGATTTGCATCTATAGTAGGTGTATTATTAATAATAACATCTGTCAGTGTGTTGCTTATTGTGAAACATTTGGGATGAGAATAGATGTCCATTTTAGTAATATGATTAAAAAATTTATATTCAGTTTTTACATTTTGAAACGGATCTTGCAAGAATAAATTTATTTTTTTCAATTTTTCGTGGACGTCTGTATTATTTGTTAAGGGTAAAATGTTTTTGGTTAGATAATTGGATATAGGGATTGTAATAAATGGTTGATCTAAGCATTGAATATCAACAACATTTTTGCGATTAAAATTTTGTTGGCTATGTAACTGTAAAGTAAACGCTATTAAATCACCTTCAATACTAAATTCGGTTGCATTTGACGAAGTATTTGTTGATTGTTGAGAATATAAATTTTCTTTTGCAACATTACTACCCATGTGTTCTGTTTTGGAAAGTGAATTTGTTTCATTATGAGCAAATTCAAGTCTTTACAAATATGGTGTTAGTACATTACGGCAAATTGATTTCTTATTATCATGTTTTTCTAAATGGTTCTTGTATGTGTAAATACTGGTAAATTGTTGTGTACACTCAGAGTATGTACAACTAAACTTAAAAATAGCGGGAACCTTATGAAAACTTTTCAAATGATATAGTAACTCTGAACTTAAATTAAACTTAACGCTACACAAAAAGCAAGTAAACATGATAGATTTAATTAAAGTAATTTTGACTGATTACTAAGCCGCGCAATTAGGCTATCAACATTTACACTTCCTTCAGTTATTTTAAAAAAATATGTGGCAAAAAATTGCCATACCAATTTACTTATTGGCGAGAATTCCAAATTAAAAACGTATATTAGTTTTATAGTAATATCAAGACATTCAATAAAATTCTAGAAATTTTTTTTTGTCAGTACCTACTACAATTATGCGTGGTTGCAGTCTGATCTTCTTGTCCCTGTATTTATCTCTTAACGTTTCTATCTTGGAACAAATATCGTTTGTTGTATTAACTTGTAACACATAATCTTCTTGTGCATCTAATATGGTAGGTTTGTGCCATTTATTAATACGCTTTGGTTGGAGTATTGCATGCAGTAATATTACTATAAAATAGTCCCTTGAATCTACAAAAAGAATCAAATGTTAATGACACAT